ATAGTTGAAGTGGACCTTCTAAAGCCACTTCCTCAAAGTGTATTTGTTGGCCAAGAATATGAAGACTCCCCTCTAAAAGGTTACACTCAAAAGTTGGAGTATGAAGGAGTCCCAAAGTATTGCAAACACTGTAGGAAAATTGGTCATTATATGATCAATTGCAGTGTTTTGGAGAAAAAGAAAACTGAAAATTTACAAGAAGAAGAGAAACGGAATCAAGGTGTTGTTGATCTTCAATCAATCAAAGAACAAGAAGGGAGCAAGGCTGAAAAGAGTAGCAATGAAAAATCTCCAAATCTGCCAAGTCCTGAGATCAGCCAAAAACAGCACCAAGAAGAAATCTGTCGCAACATCAGTAAGGATAAAAAGAAGAAGACTAAGAAGAAGAAGCCTAAGAAGTTACCAAAAAAGAAGAGCAAAGTAGTGTTTAAACCATCCAACAGTAAAAGAAGAGAGAAAAATAGTTCAGCTACCAAACAAAATGAATTCTCAAGGCAATCCATTAAAGAAAGCATTCTGAGCCCAACGACCAAAAACAACATCTCCCAACAGGATCCAACTGATGAGAATATCAGCAAAAATTTTGCTGAGAAGCTGAATGAGAGTAATGGAACATGGGACTGGCAATAGCATAATAGGAATACTCAAACTATACAGGAAGACAATAGTGAAGGGATACAAGGCCAAGAACAATGTGGTGACCCCAGCTCTTCTACTGTCCCAACTGAAATTAGGAATCTCCCAGGTCTCCAACTTGTTGTGGACTTATATGAAAATAAAGATGAAAACAGGATTTCCAATCAAGAAGAAATCAGTTCTGAAAGCTGTCAAGGTGTAGAGCTAGTCGAACAATCAACAGGAGGGGAGAAAAGAAGATCAAAATTCTCATTCCATTACGGAGGACTAACATCAAAATAACAGGAGAGGAAGAAGTGAAACAAGGAAAAATGGTAGAAGAAACAGGAACAGAACCCATCCTTCTATAAGGAGGAATCTAAAGGAAGACAACTCTCCGAATGATCTTAATGATTAGTGCTCTATTTTGGAACATTAGGGGTGTTAGATCCAAAAAAGTCATTCACAGGCTAAAGAATCTTATTAACATCAACAACTCTCAATATGTGGCTATCTTTGAACCTTTTGTCTCTAATGATAAATTGGAGGGGTACAGGAAATTCTTGGGTTTCTAACATTGTTGCTGCAATAATATTGGCCATATCTGGTGTTTCTGGAATTCCTACAACACTACTACAATCACTGCTATCAATGAGCAACATATCAAAATCCACTTTCAAAATGCTATTGGTAAGAATGACATATATATTTCTGCTGTTTATGCTAAATGCAAATCCAAAGATAGAAGGGACTTATGGAAATCTCTTGAGATAGATAATATGGTGATTGATGCCCCTTGGTGTGTGGGAGGGGATTTCAACATTATCATGGATCCTAATGAAAAACTAGGGGGTAAACCTCACAGGATGTATAGAAGTCTGGAGTTCCAAACCTGTATCAACAACTGTGGACTCATTGACATTGGTTACAATGGTTCTAATTACACTTGGTGCAATAACAGAAGACCTGGGAAAAGAATTTGGAAGAGGCTTGATAGAATCTTTGTAAATGATCTCTAGGATTAATTATTTCAAAGAACCTCTGTTACGCATCTGGCTAGGACGGGATCAGATCACAAACCCCTGCTTAAACTTGTGTGGTGCTCACCAACACATTTCTTATTTTAGATTCTTGAATTGTTGGGTTAATATCGAGGGATTCTTTGATATAGTGAAGGAATCATGGAATACTGAAGTGATTGGGAATCCTATGTGGATCCTTCAAAGTAAGCTCAAAGCTCTTAGTAAAAAACTCTCCCAATGGTCTAGGAAGGAAATTGGTGATATTAATGATGCTGTAACCAATTGGGAAGATAAAATTCAGGAGTTGGAGGATATTGACATAGAAGATAACTCTGAAAAGAGTAGAGAAGATGTCAACATGGCTCATGCTCATTATATCAGGTGGCTTAATCGTCAAGAATCCATGCTCAAACAAAAATCTCAAGTAAAGTGGTTTGAAGAAGGGGAAAAGAATACCAAATACTTTCATTCCATCCTTAGAGAAAAGAGAAGAAGGCAACAGGTTAACCGTATAAAAAATAGTAGAGGAAAATGGATTAAGGGAGATGATAAGATTGCCAACAGAGCTGTGAGACATTTCCAAAATCTCTTTAATATCACCAATCCTACTATTAACAATTCTATCCTAGATTGTATTCCTTTTTGTGTTTCAGGTGATGACAATAGCATGCTTAGCAAGGTTCCAGAGGAAGTTGAAATCTAGGAAGCAGTATTTAGCCTTAGCCCTCATAGCACAGCAGGACCAGATGGCTTCAATGGTACCTTCTTTGCGAGTTTTTGGAATATAATTGAGAGGGATGTCACTGCTTTTGTGAAAGAATTCTTCAAAGGAAAAGGTTTGACCAAATTCTATTCACATACTTGTTTGGTTCTTATCCCTAAAATTGATAACCAGAGGGCTTTCTCGAACTTTAGACCCATTAGCTTATCCAACTTTACAAATAAGATTATCTCCAAAATTGTTTCTCTTAGATTTAACACTTTATTGCATAAAATAGTTTCCCTGAACCAAAGTGGCTTTGTTAAGGATAGGCTCATGTCTGAGAATGTTTTGTTAGCTCAGGAAATTGTTCACAATATTTCTCAAAATAATCACGGGGGTAATATTGTTATTAAACTTGATATGGCTAAAGCGTATGATAGAATGAATTGGGAGTTCTTATGTGCAGTGCTTAGAAAATTTGGTTTCTCTGATAATTGGATTGATTTGGTGCACAATCTCATATCAAATGTATGGTACTCGGTTATCATTAATGGTATGAGACATGGTTTCTTCTCTTCTTCTCAAGGGCTTAAGCAAGGGGACCCTCTCTCCCCTACTCTCTTTATTATTGCTACTGAAGTCTTATCTAGATCTCTCAACTCTTTGTATAGAAATCCTAACTTCATTCCTTTCTCCATGCCCCTAAATGTCCCTAAGATCAACCACCTTGCTTATGATGATGACATTGTTATCTTCTGTAGTGGTGGTTCTAATTCTATCAAGTTGGTTATGGATGTTATTGATAACTATGAAAGAAGTTCTGGACAAATGGTTAAAAACCACAGGGATAAAAGTTACTTCTTAACTGCTCTTAATACTGTTGCCACTAGAATTAACAGGATTAGGAAATGCTCTGGCTTTATGGATAAGAATTTTCCTTTACTTATCTAGGTTGTTCATTGTATGTGGGTAGAGAAAATTGTCTTTTTTAGATGACATGATTAGTAAAAATTGTGAAAAGGCTTAAATGGCTGGCAAGGTCAAAATGAT